GTTGTGCCTGGGGTGTCACAGCTCTGTTCCAGCAGCCTGGATTGCTGCAGAAAGATCAAAGAGGAGGTCCTGGAGGTTTTTCATGAGCTGTGAAGCCACGATTGTGACTTGTACAGAGTTGAAATAGATACAGCTTAGCCCCTGGGCTGGGATTCAGCGGTGATGTGACCGGTGGCCTGGCACAGCACTCTCTGGGATGGCAGGGCTCCTGCCAGCTGCAGCAGAGATCGCTCCCGGGTCCTGCAGCTCTTCCTGTGGGACAGGTGAAGGGGAAGAACTGGGGTCCCCCCAAAAGTCTTTCTGGGGGAGGACCATTATGTCAGGAGCTGTGTGTTAGAGCAGGACTAATATCACAGGACGGGGCTGGCAGGGGTACGTTGAAAATGACTCGTACATCTGGCTCACCAACAATCGTTACCTCTTCCCAGGTCAACACCTGGACGCCCATCGCCAACATGCTGAGCCGGCGGAGCAGCGCAGGGGTGGCCGTGCTGGAGGGGATGCTCTACGTGGCTGGCGGCAACGATGGGACCAGCTGCCTTAACTCTGTTGAGCGCTACAACCCCAAAACCAACACGTGGGAGAGCGTGGCACCCATGAACATCCGGAGGTAAGGAGCAATGCCCCTGCCCTGCTCCCGAGCTGCAGGGGAGCCTCCGGTGCCGCAGTCAGGAACGGGGATCCCGTCTCCCCAAGAGCCTTGGTGCTGCAAACCGTTAAACGCAGACCGTGCCCCAGGGCTAAGGCTGCAGCTGGCTGGCTCTGTGCTGCTGGCACAAAGGCAACCCATGCTCCCCGCTGCGCTGCGAGGGACCGGTGCGTGCCAGGAGGGCAGAGTGGGGATGTTCTGCAGCAGGAGTTTCTGCAGAGGGGTTTATTCTCAGCAGTCTGCGTGGCCGTAAAGAGCCAGGTGGTGTAGCTGGCTGAGGAGATGTTGCTGGGCTGCAGGAGGATTTAGGTTGCCCAGGGAGGTGGTAGATGGCCCGTCCCTGGAAACATTCCAGGTCAGGTTGGATGGGGCTCTGGGCAACCTGAGCGAGTGGAAGATGTCCCTGCTCACTGCAGGGGGGTTGGACTAGCTGACCTCCATGGTCCCTTCCAACTCAATCTATTCTATGATTCTATGATTTGAGGCTTTGAACTCCAAGGGGTTTAGGCTCTTGTTCTTTAGAGGCGGCACCTCTCCAGTGGGAGGAAGGTGTCAGAGTGAAGGGGAAGAGCTGAGGTTCTACACTGCTCTCTGTCACTGTTTGAGCCCCAGTAGTTCATCTTCACCAGGCATTTGCAAGGCTGGGCACTCCCTTTGGTGGGTGGCAGAGGTTTGGGCAGTTCATCCAAGGTGCTGAGCTCCCCTGCACCCCACATACACCATGTTGGAGCTCTCTGCATGATCGTTCCAGGAGCACCCACGACCTGGTGGCCATGGACGGGTGGCTGTACGCAGTGGGTGGCAACGACGGCAGCTCCAGCCTCAACTCCATTGAGAAGTACAACCCCCGTACCAACAAGTGGGTCGCAGCCTCCTGCATGTTCACACGCCGGAGCAGCGTGGGGGTGGCTGTACTGGAACTCCTCAACTTCCCTCCCCCCTCCTCGCCCACCCTGTCGGTGTCTTCGACGAGCCTTTGACAAAGAGTCAGGACCTGCCTTACCTCAAGGGGACAGGGGCACCCGGCGGGGCGCC